CTAAACAGTTCAAAATAAATCAAAATATTTTGAAAATGTTATCGTGTATAGAAAATGCAAATATAAACAACCAGTGAAAATTTCATGTATATACGTTCATTTGTTTTAGAGTTACACCAATAACCAAAATCGATTTTTTGGAAAATCAATTTTGCGTAAAAATTCCCGTTTTTCCTTAATTTTTATGTTGTTTTTCCCGGCGCTTGTGAAAACTACTGGGAAATTTAAATTTTGACCTCCCCAATGCACCAACGATATTCACTTTCCAATCGAAAAAGATACTGAAGTCGAAAATCGAAGCATTATTTCGACTACTTATCGTGTACACAGATACAAAAAAAATAAAAAAATAAAAAAATAAAAAAATAAAAAAACACACATCATTGTAAAATCAATACATTCATCGTTTCACTCAGAATCTAAAAAATGGTTTTGTGAGGTAACCGGTAATTTTGAAGATTTAAAACCGCTTCCAAATAGATAACCGGTAATCCCATTTCTTCAGGAGCGGTTTCAAGCCCTGGACTTTGAACTTTGAAATGATAAAGATGACAATAATAACAATTGTCATTTTACTTATTTTTGATTACGGGAACTTGTATTGTTGTACGATGTAAATGGTACCTATGAACTTACCTACCTATAGTGTGTGCATTTTAATATTTTAAGATCCAAGCCTAGCTCATAATTTAAATCATAATTATACACTGTATTTAGGACTTTTTTTTCTTAAGTGTTTTTTACCGCGTATCAAATTTGTGACAATTTTTTCAAACTTAAACTTTAAAACCCATTTTAACTTAGGAAGTTTAATAATTTGTATACATAATATGTACCTAATACCTATACATTTTTTACTTTAGGTAATTGGATGAAAAGTACATTACTGTTGGACCCCACAGTATCTGGGTGTCTAGGATGTATGCGTGTTCCTCAGTGTGTGCCGGATATGGCACAATACATCCTGCTCAATTGAATGGTTGTTTTTGTTCAAATTGTACTGAACCTCAACCAGAAACGTGTGACGTTTGTGGTGATTCAGTTGATGGTATCATCAGCATGTTTTTGAGTTAAATTTTGATGTATACATTTTAAAGTTATAAATGCAATATAATAAAAGCTCAAATTATTGTTTGGTGTATAATTTATGTTTTAAGATACAGGTGTATTCATGAAATTTTATCTTCCGCCAAATATATACCATAGTCCATTGGTCTAGAGATATTATAGCTATAAGCAGTGGTCACAGATATATAAAGTAATATTACTATATATATCTGTGGCAATGGTGTATTTAGGATTTTGACAATATTCCACACCATTATTTTTAACTTGCAATTCACTATGTCATGCGAGAAGTTCAAAAATAAATCATATAATGAACTTCGTTTTTTTGACAATCGGCAACCCCATTCGGTTTGTGTGGGGGCTACGGATGGTACCCGTTTTTTATGTGAGGCAGATAGATCGTCACAAAGAACCCTGGTGGACGGTGGTCACCCACCTGGGAGCCTGCTCGACCTCTGCTCACATTACTATATTAGTGACTGCGTCCAATCACCGCGATTCACCAGGTCACCATACAATGAACTATAATACCAACCCCGTTAAATGGTATATTATATGTTTATATTATATTTACCAGTTTAAATTCTTGCCAAATGTATTATATTATGTAATATCAACAAATTGTATACAATATTACAATCCTTAAAGCAATAGTACTGAGTAGTAAAATAAATAATGGTATATACTATATACAGATTAGTGTAAATTGAATCATTTGTTGGTCGTTGCCACAGCGATAAAATCAATTATTGAAGTAACTTGATCGTCATATTTAAAAGTTGATTTTGAAAGGATTTAATATAGATACTTGTATATTTTAGAAAATTAAGGTTTCGGAAATATATTAAAAATATATTGAACTAGGTACGTTATGTTATTTGGTATTAGCAAGACTTTAACAGTTAACCTAACTATTAATTAATCGTAGAAATTATAATAAACTAGGTATAATATCAATGGTTCATAGTCAAATACAATTTTATTGTTTAGAAAACCATGTAAACATTCAAATTAATAATTATGTATATTATTAAAAAGTATCTTTTTGTGACACTGTGACGGTATATATGAAAAAAAAAAATTAAATATGTCCATTTATGTACATTATTACCTAATAATCGTTAAGGATCAAATGTGTGCAGGTTATTAGGTATTTTTTCATTGCTCAACATTTAAAAAAAACCCAAAATATATAGATCAACTAAAAATTTGATATAGGTATAGATACAAATAGTATGTATTATAATAATTAAAAATATAAAATGTATCAAAAAAGGTTAAATGTAAGGATAGCTGAATCAAAAAACTTGAAATTTTACCCATAGACCATAAGTCATTTGATATTAGAAGTTCAAAAGTAATGAACATATAAAAATGAAAGGCACACATTTTTTTATAAGCATTTTAAACTCAAATGTTGACATAATCCATCATAATCGCGAACATTATCAAATTTTTTTCTATTTAAAAATGTATATAATGTTCAATTTTTATAGCTAATAACTAAAAGTCCCCCCAAGCCCCCTTCATTTCCGCTTATGCTCGTATACATTTTAAACATAATATAACAAGCCGGTTCTAAATTTTACTGGCAATTAGAGTGTGACCGTGGAGAAGTTTTAGATTTGAGACCAAAGCAGTAGCGACTAAAGCGACAGTAAAACTTGAAAAACATAAAACGGGGCATGAATAACGACGTTAAAAAAGTTTAAAAAAACTGACATAACCGTGGTACCGCTTACAGAACACAGACAAATTTATAACATTTTAATAACAATCTATAAACGCCTGTAAGTAACGTATAAATATCTATGAAAGCATGACAAATAGATGGCTAGGTACGTCAGAAAAAATACGAGACGTAGCCAAGGAACAATGTACATATGTATTCTTTATCTATGGACACGTAGTTCGGTTAACGCATCGCACCCTTGCCAACCATATAGTCGTAGGTCACCTCATTTCATTGGCCGTTAGTTGATGAACACCTGGGCGCTGGGGACCGTTCATTTTTGAATTTTTGGTGTCCGAAATTAAGTTCAATTTATTTTCAATATTTCACGAGATGTATCATATGTATATACTTATACTTTACAATCAATTCTAAATGCTAAGGCAGTGGCGCAACTGAGTAAAAAACTAGGAGGGGGAGGAGAAAAAATGTATAAACCAAAATCAAAACTCCTCCCCACCGTTTTAACAAAATATATATTTTGTTTTAAGTATAGATATTACGTACGTTACCGTCCTAATTATACTATGGTCTATGGCTAATTGTTTGTTTTTACACAAGTCTTAAAGGAAACTTGTTATGGTTTCGAAACAAATTGTAGGTATAGGTTGTAGGTACCACTAATGTTGATAAATATTATTTATTATGAACTATTGGAATACCTATCTGTTGTAGGTGATATTTAAAAAAAAAATTAACAAAAACGCCACTGTCGCCACAGCCCACTGGTTATAGTAATTACTAATTTGTATTATTATGTTAATAAAATCAATGGTAGCAGCCAGTAGGTATACTGTATACTTACTAGAAATTAATAGATATACCAGAATTCGTTGTTTCAGATTATAATATTATAATATATACCTCACTACATAAATACATGATTACCTAAAAAAAATCAATGTTTATTGTATTTGCCTATTGTTATTAAATAATATTAAAATTATAGGTACAAAATAACTAGATTTTTTTTAAACAAAATTTGTTCGACCCAAGATTTATAAAGGTTAGTTTACCTTTATAAATTCACTGTTATATGTTAGGTGTCGTGACTCGTGAGGGTATCTTCTGCAACGGATGCATGTTAGATTTGAATCTAATGATTTTGGATGTGTGAAAACTAAAATAATATACCTGCTTTGAAATGCTTGATTTCAAATTAAAATATTTTCAGGTCAATTCATGTCTAGTTTATGTATGTTACAGCCTACAGGTGAAATTCTTGGCGCTAACTGTCATATAAATATATAATATATCAGTATCGATGAGCAGTGTTATAGATGCGCCTTCGGATGGTTTAGTACACACAACACAAGTAAGAACCAGTTAAAAAATAGGTATTTTGTTTTATCAATAATTTTATATTTATAATATTAAATCATCATAAATCAATAATTCATGAATGTAGATTGTTTTAAAATTACAAATTTAATACGAGGGACGTCCAGAAAGTAAGGTTACAAAGGCTGTAATATAATTATATAATAATATAATAATATAATTACATTATTGTATTTAAACACAACAGTTTATGGTTTACAAATTGTATGTTAATTTATTGACTTAGTGTAGAAAAAATAATAAGCTATATAAACCATAGAGCATAGACCAGCGTTTCCAAACTTTTATAACCCCGGCACCCTTTGAAACCTTAAGGATCCACCTCTTAGGTTCCGCGGAACACGCTTCGGGAATCGCTGGTAAAGACTATGTCCACAAATGGTGTATAGATCTATGATGTTAACTGTTCAAACAATAAAACACTTGTATGTTTTAACAAAATTATGTGTACATAATTTAAAATTTAAATTATACAATTTATTTATTCTATGATGAAGTTTATAAAATGAGAGTTGTGACTTATACATCGTACTCCCATAGACGATAGTCTTAAATATTATATATGATTGACGTGTTAATATAGTAGGTGGTAACATAGAACAAAGTTATACTGTTTTATACAGTCGTAAAAATGTAGGGAGCCATCTAAGGTAATAAATAATAAATACATTTTAGGTTATACCATTGTGGCTCAATTGACAAGCTTATTACTAGTCGACATAATCTTGAATGCTTCTAATTTTAGTCAATTGCTTTTGGAGAATAGCGTTTTGCAGTCGAGTACAACATAATCAATCGAGTTAAGTCTCACACGACTTCTAGTCGATCGATCAAGATAATAGGCCGAATATATTTCTCCCTATAGGGGGGTACGAATCTTATGACTCCACGGGTAACTGTTTTCCCGTATGTAATCTAAGCAGTCCTTGTGACCATTCCACTCGGCGTACTTGCACGTCAAATCATTCCATTGGCACCCGTTTTCCCTCGCGTAAACCAGACAGTCCTTGTGACCCATCTTCGCGGCGTTGTTGCACGTCATCACGTCCCAAGGGCACCCGTTTTCCCTTGCGTAAATCAGACAGTCCATGTGACCACCGTACGCGGCGCTGCTGCACGTCCACTTATCCCACGGGCATCCGTTTTCCCGGGCATAAACCAGGCAGTCCAAATGTCCACCTGACGCGGCGTTGTAACATGTCGACTCGTCCCAGGGACATCCATTTTCTCGGGCGTAAACTAGGCAGTCCATGTGACCGTTCTCAGCGGCGTTGTTGCACGTCATCACGTCCCAAGGGCATCCGTTTTCCCGGGCGTAAACTAGGCAGTCCATGTGGCCGTTCCTCGCAGCGTACCTGCACGTCTCCTCGTCCCAAAAACATCCATTTTCCCTAGCGTACTTTAGACACTCCAGATACCCCAATCTCGCAGTCCGGTCACATGGCTTATCGAAGGGCACTCTGGACCATTCGTCCCAAGGGACGCCGATCTCGTGCGCGAGTTTCAGGCAATTTATGTGCCCGTGCGACGCTGCCTCTTTGCATATGTTTCTAAACCTCTCGTCGTCGGAGGAGGCCAACAGCGCCCTGCTGTACATTGTGTGCCTATCGTTGCCCTCGTTTCGGGTTTTTTCGATTTTTAACAATTCGAACAGCGACTCGCAACACGATCGCAAATCGACGTCCGGTACATCCAGCGAGTCGAACCTGTCACGGTCGATCTGGTTGCAAGCGTAGTACGCAGTTTTCAACAAGCTGGGTACTTGGTACGTTCTCTCGTTGTCCATCGTAGCCGTCCGCGCCGCAAACGTACAATAATAATTGCTTACACGCGTAAAGGAAACGATAACTCCGAATGGTCGCTCAAAACATTTATCAATAATTAACGATAGAACGATGAAGCGCCCGCGTTGACTATACGAATTGACAACTCGCGAGAAAAATGTATGTTCAATATTATAATAATATTACTGTCAATCGGCGTGTGACCGTGAACACGATTTAGATTTTAAGGCAGAGCAGTAGCGACTAAAGCGACAGTAGCCAGTAAAACGTGAAAAACGTTAAAAAATAAACCTGACATAACCGTGGTACCGCTTACAGAATACTGACAAATTTATAAAATTAACTACGCATAAATGTGTATGAAGCATGACGAAATAGATAGCTATTCAGCAAAAATACGAGACGTAAACACGTACACATAGGATAAGGAATGAGAAGTAGGTATGCTCAATGATCAGACTGCGCATATATTTTTAAGGGGCAATGTATAATTTATATAGGCAACCAACGATAAACATAAGGTGACGTCATGCGTATACATTTAATCTTTTTTGCACAAAGTAGTATGCACAAAAACACAAGGCGATGCACATGCGAACTAGGACGAAAACACGGTTCGAGTTCATCGTACTTCTTATGCACACTTACTTCATTATCTCTGGACACGTATTCCGGTTATCGCATCCCACCATTCCCAACCGTGGTCGTAGTTGGCCTCATTTCATTGGCCGTTATTGATGAACAACCTGTCCGCGGGGACCGCTCAATTTTTAAATTCTAAACTATTGTTCAATTTGTCTTCACAATTTCAAAAGATGTATCATGTATATTATACAATCAATGCCAAATGCTAAGGCAGTGGCATAACTCAGTACAAAACTAGAAGGGGGAGGAGAAATAATGTATTAACCAAAATCAAAACTCCTCCCCACCGTTTTAACACAATATATATTTTGTTCCATGTATAGTGTCGTACACCTATCTCTCGATAGTACACTAAATAATCGTTAACGATATTCACACTATATTAAATAACTTTATTGAACATAAACAAACACACAAAATACGAATCTCGATGGATCGCTTATACAAACTACGGGCCTCGTTCGAGGTACGTGGTTCTTACGTCCTTAAATATAAATATATAATTTTACAAATTGGTGCCTCAGCTCATTTGCTTAGTTGACCTAATATTATGAATATGAAACATTTAACTATTCAGCATAAAGTAAATATTGGCACATACAACATTCCCTTATGTTATTAAAAAAAATATGTCCCCATATTTTAAATTTAAAACTGTGCACTGTATAATGTGTTCAAAAATTAAGAAAAGGGAGAGAAAAAAATTTTTACAGTTTGCCATTTGTTATCCTAACAGAGCTTACAGTATACATATGTAAAGTAATATATGGTTTAACAAGTTTGAATATATAATATGAGATGTTTCGAAAAGAGGTTTAGGTGAATTTTTAACATTTTAGAAATTAATTGACTATGGTTAGGGAGGGGTGATTAGTGATTACAATATCGGCTTATAGGTGAACGCTACTTGCCTTATTAGTTATACATATTTTTGATATTTGGAGTGTGGAAAAGTAAATAGGAATTACATGTATATATTTTTGTGAGAAGAAGACTTTTAGGATAGGATAAAATTTATAATATTTCAAAATCTTCTATAGTTATTGTTGTGTCCAGAATTCTATTTTTTTTTTTGATTTGTCAATTTGTATATGATTTCTTCACGCTGACTGTCATCGGAAATTATTATATTTTGAATTTGATGCTGAATTTGTGTATCTTTCTCTTTTATCTTCTTGTTTGCGGTGTTCACATAACGATTATTTATTAGTTTTGTCTGTTGAACGGTTTTCGACATCATAAAGTAGGTAAGTGTATAATATTGTATATTTATTCTTTTTTTTCTGGAAAGATTTTGGTTAATGGGGGGGGGGGGGGGAAATAGGTATAGAAAAGAATACTAGACGGAGTAAAAAAAAAAATAGAATATTATTGATGCTGTTTGCTGAGTTTACTATTTCGTTCTCTTTCTTCGTTGTATTTTTTAGTTTGAATCCTTTTCTAGTGACACAAATATTGTTAATATTTAGTAGTCTTGGAGAAGTGTTGGTTGACCGTCGTGTATGCCTTTGTTTAGATACTAATTTCGTGTTAAAAAAATAAACTTTTTATTATATGATACATTATTTTTTTTTTTTGATATTTCATTGTTTACATTTTTGTGAAATTGATTTTGTAAGTAAAACCTCATCAGTAGGTTTTTTTTTATGGTGAGCTTTTACTTGGGTAATTTTTTTCATATAAAATATATTATCACCGTACCTCCCTAATTGTACTATAGTTTATGGCTAATTGTTGGTATTTACACAAGTCTTAAAGGAAACTTTTTATGGTTCGGAAACAAATTGTATGTTGGTTGTAGGTACCACCAATATTGATAAATATTATTAATTATGAAATACTTCAGAAGAGTTCTTTAATAAAAATATGCACTGTTGTAGTATCTGAGTGGTAGATGATATTTTTGAAAAAAATTGCAAGAGGGGCAGGTATTCCCCCACAATAACACCACTGGTTATAGTTATTAGTATTATTATTATTCATCAAATCAATGGTATCAGTCAGTAAGTATACTTACTATAAATTAATTTGTAGGTACCAGAATTCGTTGTTTCAGATTATAGATTCCTAATTACATAAATACATACATTTATTATAAGATTACCTACCTAAAGAAAATAAATGTTTAGTGTACTTGCCTATTGTTATTAAATAAAAATATTTAAATTATACAAAATAAATCTAGATTTTTTTATGAAAAAGAAAATTGTCTGACCACAGATTTAAAAAGGTGGACAGGTGGACGGTTTGATATCCTTATTATTAATAAATATATTTTATGATATTATTGTAATTAAAGTAGGTAGTTAATATAGGCAAATTATTGTTTGGTGTATAATTTATGTTTTAAGATACATGTGTATTCATGCAATTTTATCTTCCGCCAAAGATATACCATAGTCCATTGGTCTAGAGATATTATAGCTATAAGCAGTGGTCACAGATATATAAAGTAATATTACTATATATATCTGTGGCAGTGGTGTATTTAGGATTTTGACAATATTCCACACCATTATTTTTAACTTGCAATTCACTATGTCATGCGAGAAGTTCAAAAATAAATCATATAATGAACTTCGTTTTTTTGACAATCGGCAACACCATTCGGTTTGTGTGGGGGCTACGGTTGGTACCCGTTTTTTATGTGAGGCAGATAGCTCGTCACAAAGAACCCTGGTGGTCACCCATCTGGGAGCCTGCTCGACCTCTGCTCACATTACTATATTAGTGACTGCGTCCAATCACCGCGATTCACCAGGTCACCATACAATGAACTATAATACCAACCCCGTTAAATTGTATATTATATGTTTATATTATATTTACCAGTTTAAATTCTTGCCAAATGTATTATATTATGTAACATTTGACATATCAACAAATTGTATACAATATTACAATCCTTAAAGCAATAGTACTGAGTAGTAAAATAAATAATGGTATATACCAGGGGTGGCCAAACCGCGGCTCGCGTCATAGACTTTTACGACTGGCATCTCTATAATTTTAATATGAATTTATGTATTTGTGCGGGCCGGGAGCATAAAATATTAATACGCGCGCCCGGACACCAATAACTCACCTTACACCACTAACACCTAATTCCTGGAATTATGGAGAACAAGCTGGATGTGTAATGGTGTAATAGCTCGAACAGTAGTGGTCGGGATCGCCTAGCAATTACTGTCGGCTATGTAGTGCGTGTTGTGTAATTATGTGTAATTGTGTATAAATATGTGTATGTGTGTAGGTGTGTATACAATTAAACAAATAGGTAATAAAAAATGGTAACACGGTTTCTGATAGCTGAGTTGCTGTATAATACACAATAATAATAATAATAATACAAATATATAAAAATCACAGCAACACAGTAGGTATAAAAAATATGATAGTAAATAAATATATAATAATTAGTGCACGGCTATTATAGCCAGCAGCATAAACAATATAATAATATATTAGGTAATACACGCTCTTAGCCAAGCGGCATAAAATATAATAAATAATAAATAATAATGCACGACCCTTATGGCCGAACAGAATAAATTACAATAATATTAAACAGCCCTTCTGGCCCTATCGAAACAATATAATAAAATAATACGGCAAACTTTATGAGCTGCTATTGATAATAAATGATGTGGCCCTTATGGTCCAACAAATATATAAGGTGAATAATAGTTAAAATATATTAAATTAAGATGTGGCCCTTATGGCCAAACAGAATAAATATAAATTGACCAGCTATTTAAACTGTTAGCTTGTATGCAGGTATATAATATAAAAATGATATGTGGCCCTTCTGGCACGGTAGTATTATAATTATAAAATATCTAAGGCCCTTTTGGCATAACAACTAAATGTGTAATATTGTAAAATAATAATATAATAATAAAAACTCACAGTTTGTGGAGCGCAGTCTAGCTAGCTGGTCCCGTGCTAAATAAAAATACAATATGCCGTGGTACTCGGCGTAAAACAAATATAATAATAATAAGTGACGATTCACACACGTAAAAATACAATGAATATTGAGAAATGGACCAATATAATAATGATAATGCCCTTATGGCTCACAAATTCACAATAATAACACGGTATAATTTATTAAATATAAAAGGGTGGCGAATTGCGCTTATGACTCGATATTAGAACAAAAAAGACAACAACTATAATATTATTTTACACTTCGGTGTTTGTGGAACGACGAACGAAACAGGAAGATTCACGCCCGCCGTGCTAAATAAATATTCGCATAGACGGCGCGGCGGCGTGCGATAACGTTTAATCTACATATTATATAATTCACAAGACACATTCAACGATAATAATAATAAAACAATACAAATAG